TGGAAATTTTAACAGCTGGACCTATGGGTAAAATAGAACAACTACACTGTGTCATCACATGAGCAAGATGGGCCATCCCATTCGTTTGCATGCTCTCCAACAACTTAAACTAAAAACTCTTTGCTAATGAAAAGTCTGAGATGTTGTTTATAACCTAAAATGTACCACTCTTTCTCTATGAGTACATATCAAGCAAATGTCTTCACCATTAAATCAGTGTAAGCAAGCACTGCCTTTCATAAATGATCAAATCAAGGTTAGGCAGCTAATAGCTGAATGAACGAGAGCATATAAGCTAACTTGCTCTATCATTATAGCCCAGCCAAGATTTTGGCTACATTTAAACATCTATATTTAAACAACAATATTCTGTTCTTCAGCAGGTTTCTATGTTTACAGCAAATAATGTGTATTTATGGTAGAAGGAGCAGTGAAAAGTCACTGTAATTGACGGAGGTGACATCATAAAACATGCAGTGCCGTCTCTGATGAATGGACTAGGGGGGTGCTGAGGCAGGATTTTACTTACTATAAATGTTTTATGGACTGAATGAAAAATTGTAACAGATATTATGTCAGACAGGATTTTTACCAGTCAAATACCGATATTTACAAGCTAATGAAAAACCCTGATCTCAAATTGTAACCAAATTGTATGTAATTGCAATCCAATCTCAATATGTAGCAATATTATTACAATATATTCTCAATATGTAGCAAAGTAATCACAATATAACAGTAACATGTAGCAATATATTTACCATACATTCTCAATATGCAGCAATATAATAGAAAAATAATCTCAATATGTAGCTATGCAACTACAATATAATCTCAATATGCCATTATGTAACTGCAATATAATCACAATATGTGGAAATATAATCACAATATCATCTTCATATACCAATACCAATAGCAAGCAATATACCATATCCAGTATAATATGGTATTTTACTGTTATTGTGCTGCACACACATACACAGTCACCCACACAAGCCTAAATGCACACGCTCACACACACACACACACACAAGCACACATAGTTCATCATCTTCCAGAGAGCAGTAGCAGGTAGCATTGTTCTCATTGACAGCTCCGCCTCAGCAAATGGCATGCAATGCTTTCTTGGAGAACAACAGGCTGAGTTCAAGCCAACAAGAAAGCTGCCACCAGGCTGCCATGTCAGACCACAGTGCCATTGGGCTGTCAATCAACGCCTGCCAAAACCAAATTAGCGGGCTTGATCCTCTTACAACAGCAAGAGCAACCTCCGAGCCTCAGATGTCAGAATGACGCAGAGAAAACACATAAATTCACTCATCAAAAAGTTGAGAAAGACTTTCAACACTGGCTGTAGCTCCTCAAGCCAGCAGCGAGGACTTGACCTATTTTAAGCATGGCGAGGCAGTTCTCCAGGCCACAGATGATTTCAGGGTTGGACAAATATTGGCGCAATGTTTCATCAAAAAAAGTGCAGGCCTGGATTTTTTTCATAAGGCCAAAGCTTTCTACAATAACCCCAAATAAACTAACGCTGAAGCCGCATGTCTAGACATATCAAATGCAGGAAATATTTGACATCGGATCTTACTCGACGCTCACCCTTGAGCACGATCCGGCTCTTGTGCTTTGTGCCGATAGTTCCGACATTTTCCGTCAAGAACGCTATTGTTTCTCCGCACGCTTGCCCACTGAAATGTCCTTCAATTGTGAGGCGGCAATGACTACATCTTACTTCAGATGCAAAAAAAATCCATCTCAATTTATCTTCAAGGTTTTTTCCTGATTCGAAGAGACAAATGTTAAGCAGGGGGAAAAAAGGGAGAGAAAAAAAAAAAGAAGAACCTGATAAATGTCACTCTAGAGAAACATTCAAGTTCTTACAGCTGCTGAGAAAGTCTTCACAAGGCACAAAAACATCCCTCACATCTCATTTCTTTCATTAGGACTCCAGGAGAAATGTCAGCCCAGATAACGGGCCGTCTCCGCACGACCGCTGGCATTAAAGGACAACCTGCCTGCAGGCGTGTATATTGCTTTTCAGAGAAGTGATTCGGAAAGCTCGGTATTGGCTGCTTGTGTTGCCGCTGCATGTCCAGCCCCAGTTTTAGTAATAACAGGTTGCCCGGGAGTTTAATAAAGCAGATGGATATGAATATGATATGCAGTGATAATGGTGGGTTTAGCAGAGAGGCACAAGCAGCAGGGTTCAGGATTTTCTGTTTTATATTAGACTCTCCTTTTTACCCATCATTCACCTAACGGAACTGCATGTGCTCATGCTTCCTTACAAGCCAGTGGGGGGTTCGCACTCACTCAGTCATCTTAACGCTGTTTGACGTTGCGCAGAAAGGCCCGCAAAGAGGCGAGAAGGCAAAGGCTCACATCTCAGAACTAAAATCTTTCCAATTTAACATCACAGATGTCTATTAATATTTAGCTTTAGTAAGAAGGCAGATCTATGCCTGAGAAGTCAATTCTGAGCACCAGATTGCAATATTTTTAGGCATGTTGTCATTTTTCATTGTCTAAACTCAAATAATGAATAATTTACATTCAAGAATATTTATCATGTGTCGAGTAAAATCAGAGCAACGATGTGCAACGTTTTGAAGCAAGTTCTCATTTGAATAGTAACTAATTTACATTCAAAATTTCGAATGTTTCATCGGTGTTGACATCTATTACTGTTAGCTTGTCATCATAATGCCGTTTGCCACAGCACAGAACCATCCATGAAGAGCCAAAAAGACAAAGAAATGCCTCAGAAGTACAATCTAACCAACAATGTGCAATATTTTGAGGCGCGTTGTCATTTTTCATTGTCTAGTCTGAAAAAAAGCTATAAGAAGAGTTTGTAAGGAAAACAAGAAAAAAAGTAAAATCTGACCAACAGTGTATAATATTTTGAGGCAAGCTGTCAGTTAAATAGCAAATGATTTAGAATCAATTTTTTTTTATGTTCGTCAGCTTGTCATTATAATACTGTTTGACCCCACATGTGACCATTCACAAGGTAAAAAAGTAAAGGCAGAACTTAAATAAGACCAGCATCATGTAACATATAAATGCAAATTATTTTTCATTGCCATATTTGAATAATAACTGATTTATAATTAAGAATATTCTAATAAAACACAACTTTGATTTTGTGACACTGAATTGTTGTCTGATATACTGTTTGACAGTGCTCAGTCATCTAAAAAGAGCCAATGAGGCAAAGACATTACAGTAAAATCAGACCAACAATGTGCAATACTCTGGTTCATGTCATCATTTTCAATCAATGATTGATTTATATTGAAATTATTAAATTATATCAACACTATTAATCACAGAAGGCTATTAACAATAAGCTTTAGCAAAAAAGGCAGAAGTAAAATCAGATTGTGTAATATTTTTACATTTTTCATTGTTTAGTCTCAAATAATGATTGATTTACATTTAAAATTCTTACACTACGCCAATGTAGCTCATAATCTTTTGAAACAATCCACTCCAAAAAAATCCCACCCCTAAGTCCAGCCCTCTTTTCAAAGCCACTCCCCAAAACACATGAACGCTCATGGGGTACGGACAAATACACAGTGTAGCTACAAAGGTAGCTACCTACATTGGCTACATAATTCAGGAAAATAACAAATTCCCCCATAAACAAAACAAACCAGATAATTACCTGTCCAACAGAAAAAATGCAACATTATCGTTGCTTTTCAAGCCTTTCAGCTCCCTCAGGTTTTGCTATCGTTGGAAAAGCACACTCTTGTTCAAAGCCCTTTCTTCTTCTGTCTTTCTTCCTTTCGTTAGCAGTGTAAGCTGTTGTAGGTATGCGTAACTTTCTCTGCCATTCATGTGAACCTAGCTTGCTGCCTTTCAGCTGTGTGTGTGTGGAGCTAAATGATGGACTCTGCACTTGCACAAATGAGTACAGGTGCAGATCGTGTGCACGTTGGCAGGTCATGAGGCAGGTAAGTAGGCAAATGTGCATGTTTTTACAGTCCTGCGTCTTCCACAGATAAGATTTTTTTCTTTTTATTGTCATTAGATTTATTGATTGCATAGCAGGATGTGAAGAGTATATCAAGAAATCTAACAAAAAATGTTTCTAAATTAAATCACCTACTTAAGCTTTAGCAAGTAGGCAACAATGACCAACAATGACCAACAATGACAAACACTGCGAGGCAAGTTGTCATTTTCCATTGTCTCAAATAATTGGTTTACATTCAAAACACTGAATGTATCATCACTGCTGATCTTCTATTAATACTGTTAGCTTGTCATCATAATGCAGTTTGACTTTGGATGGAAGCTCCCAGAAGGCAAAAAGGTAAAGACATGACCCAGAATTCAAGTAATACTAGCAATGTGTAACGCACTGATGCAAGTTGTCATTTTTTATCATTGTGCTCAAATAATAACTGATTTACATTTAAGAACATTCAAATAAAACAAAACACTCAATGTATAATCACTATTATGTTGTTTGACGCTGCACAGAATCACAGGAGAAAAAGCAAGAAGACATCTCAGAAGTAAAATCACACCAACAACATGCTGAGGCAAGTTGTCATTTTTCATCGTCAAGCTCGGCTAATATTTGATTTACCTCCAAGAATATTGAAAAAAAAAACGACAGTCTACACTGCGTCACTGTTGATGTGTATTAACTATGTTAGCTGCAAAGCTAAGCTAGAGAAAAGGACAAAAAGCTCACAACACGTTAGAACAGACCCGCATCGCTCAGGCTGCTATGAAGACGTTCTCTTCATTTCTCCAACAGAACTGGGTCATGCCTCAGCAGCCATGGGAGACAGTCAAGGCCTCATCATCAATAATTCATCACGAAGTACACAAATCAAAATCAATTATTAGCACAGTCAGCTTGTAAGTTTTGCCTTGATTTCTGACATTTAAAACAATTAGGGCAAACACAGGAAGAATGGAGATGGGGCCTGGGGAGCTCCAGGAGGCGAGAAAGGGAAGAGAAACCTCACCTCTGGTAGAGCGATATTTCCATATAATGTTGGGCTCGGGTCGTCCGATGGCCAGACACATGAGGCTGACGTTGCTGCCCTCGTTTACCGTTACGTCTGTGGATATGTTCACGATCCTGGCAGGAACTGTAACACAACAAGAAGACAAAAAAAAAGATGTTCAGAAATAGACTTGAAGACAAGCACAGACATTATCACTGGTGATAAAAAATGTAATTTTATGTGAATTTATATGAGTTACATGAATATGAATTATATTTCTCAGTTGAGGCTCATTAAAACAAGCAGAGAGATTCTGTTGAAAGTGCAAATTCTATGCAAAGGTCAGAGATATAGATGTAAGGCTAAAATATATGATACATTTGCATAAGGAAGAGAAACAAGTAAAAAAAAAAAATAGTTTCCAAGTTTCCAAAACTGGAGCTCAAGAAACTTATTAAAACATGCAGAGAAAATGAGACCCCTAATAACCACGCAAGACCTGGTAGACCACCAAAACCGTCACCATCAGATAAACAGCACTTAAAGCTTTCATCATGGAGAGACTGGTGAAAATCAAGCTCCACTCTTGTTCAGAACTGACAGGTGTTTCTGTCCATCCTTCCGCTGTGAGACGAAAACTCAATGTTATGGGTCTGAAAAGATGAGCAGCTGTCAAGAAGCCCTTACTGAGAAAAGAAGATGCATGAAAAAGATGAAAATTAGCAAATTAATCATAAAAAAGCTGATGGGGTTCTCAGAAGAATGGCCAGACCTCAACATCACTGAGTGTGTTTGGGATTATTTGGATCGTAAGAAGCAGAAAATTCAACCAACTTCTAAGACCCATAAAATATCCCATAGATTTCTCTGAAAAACTGAAAGCAAGTCTCCCAAACAGGATGGAAAATGTATTAAAGCATTTAAACAATACTGCAAACCCACAGTAACAACACAGTAAGGAACCTTCAAAGGCCTAGCAGCCCTGATTATTTAAAAACCCAAGTACTGATGTGTTTCACCTCTCTAAACTGGAACGCTTCCTTCACAGGACAGAAATTTTATTATATTTTACTTTTTACATCAAACATTTGCAGGAACTCCACCGAAGCCTAATCCAGCAATGCTGTCCCACTTTAATCAATCATAAATTTTTGTTTTCTCATTTTAGTCTGCAAAATTTCATGTTAACTACATTCAGTTATGGGACTACGGGGAGCAGCGGAGGCAAAAAAGAAGACAGTTTGAGTCCACATGTGCAGTAATGCACAGCGAGGGGGGTCCTGCGGGATGCGTTCTTAAAAGCCGTTCTCTGCGGGGACGCGGCCCAGCGTGTACTCAACAGCCGGAGTGATGAAACACAGCATCAGCCTTTTACAAGCCACTGCAATCTATATGCATCCAGAGAATTCTAGCAACAGCCTAAGAACCCAGACTTCCCCCAATTAACTCAACAACTTTAGCTGTGTGTACATTTGGCTAGTTTTTTGGTTGAACACTGTTTGTGTAAACATTCCTCGCCAGCAAGTCGACTTTTGATACTGCAATGTGACACTGAAAGTCATGAGCAACTCCATGACTTGGGACTAGTCCTTTAACACTGGACCACACAAGATAGTCCCTACTTTCTAGGGGCCTTTGCAACAACAACAAAAACAAAAGCGACTGCCGCAAACTCTTTCAGGCTTGACGCCATCGTGAAAAGCCTAACTCTCTACAAGGCTAGTCTAAACATAGCCTCTGTGGACTACGGAGTCCGGCGCCTCAATGAGTCAGCCCCATTCCGCTGCTTGATTGACGTGATTTGATAGCTGTGTAGGGCACCCCTCCAATGTGAAGCCCATTTTGTTTACATAACTTCGACCGCGAGCGGAATGATGACAGCTTGCCTGTCTTCTATCTTCTCCTTTTCAGTCAGAGCCAAGCAGGCAGCTAGCAACCTGGAAAGATATCATTTGGCTGGCTCGCTACCAAGCTGGCCCGAAATGGGAGAGTCTGTTATCTACGTTTGTTCAAAAAGTAAATATTTTATGGTAAATTTTGTTTACTGAAATTCCAGGGAGGATTCTGGGAAGGCATACACACACACACACACACACACACACACATCAATAACAGGTACAGAGGAACTCTGTAGGTTTTCTAGCTTGTCTATTTTGTTAACCCTTTAATGCTGAAGCAAAAGCACCCATTTCTGTCTAATCTACTCTTCTCTTTTTATACTGCAATGCTGTTATTGTATTTACTTTGATGTGTAAAAAATATGACCTTAAGGGTTAATGATTTTTAGCATTTATGAGCCACAACCTACCTATTTAAGTAGGGCAGCACCTAACTTTGTTGGGTATTGCAATGATATGAGAGTCATTATATTATAATTCAATCACACCCTGACTCTGAGTGTATCACTCTTAAAAAAACGGTTCTTCAAAGGTTCTTTAGTAAAGACAATGGTTTATACAGAACCATGAACACTCAAAGAGCCATTCGCATCCTTAAATGATTCTTTGCATAGTGAAATGGTTCTTCATATGTTAGATATGGTTCTGTATAGAACCGTTTTGAAAATAGTTGTATATAGCACCAAAAAGGGTTCTGCTATTGTTACGACAGACATCGCAATCGAAAGCACAGTTTGTGCACCATAAGGTCAACAGTCAGCTTTCCTTCTCCAGCTTTTTCTACATAGGCTGACAAAAAACAAATATACTTAACAGACTTATGCATTTGGCAGATAATTACACAGAATTCCCAACAACTAAGTATAATATCTACATTTTCAGCTTTTATTTATTTATTTATTTTTTTTAAATCTGCAAGGATGTTTTTCCACACCTTTAAAGTTCAGTCTTAGAAGCTGGTTGCACTTTCTGCTTCTCACAATTCAAGTAATTCCAAACACATTTAGTGATGTTGAGGTCTGGACTCTGGGGTGGTCAGTCCATTGTTCTGAGAACTCCAGCAGCTTCTTTGTTTAATCTGCAGATGTTCTTCTTTTCTGTCTATTTTCTTTTCTCAGTAAGGACTACTTAAAAGCTACATCCTTTCAGACCCATAGCGCTGTCTTCTTCTGACAGTGTAAAGATGGACACGATCACCTGTGGATTTTATCGGATCTAAAGTGAGTGGTGCTTGATTTTCTGAAAGCTTTGAGAAACAGAAGAAAACTAGGTCTACTAGGTCTTGCACAGTTGTTAGGAGTCATGCTTTCTGTACATGTTTTATTTTTTTCTAACTCTCATTGTGGAAACTCTTACACTTTTCTTACACTCATTTTCTTAGCAAGTGGGTGACTTCATTCCTAATCTCCTCAGAAATGTCTCCTGGAAGATGAATAACTTGTACTTAAAGGCTGTTTAACTTATTTTATTTATCCATGATCTATTGACAGCTATTATTTATGCTACACGGTAATTTAACCAGCACTATTAAAATTCAGAAATATCAGGTCTTATTCCACACTTTGTGCGATGATGGGTCACTTTGGGTCAGTTTCTGACAATTCTGTTGGACTCAGAAAGCAATGCTCTGTGTCAGGTCAGGTCAGGCTTGGACAGAATGTTCTCAGGCTGTGTTTGGGTTCGGAACAAAATTTCAGGCTTGATTAAAGCTGTAAATGAGGTCAGAAAAAAGGCTTTCTCCAAATCACACTACTACATTACTCACTACTGTTAGAGCTAATATAATATCCATAACGGTTTCAGCATTACAAGTTATCTTGTAATATGTTTTCTTGTCCTCGACAAAATCATGCCGCAGGAAGAGACGACGCTGCACTATCAATCAAATCTAAACGGCAGGGGAAACGTCTGATGGGACCAATTAAGTCCTCATTTTTCAAACTGTCCTGCTCTCTCTAAATAGCAGAGAAATAGCTACAAAGTTCCCCCTCTGAGTGCGTGCGTATGTGTGAGTGGGATGCAACTGCAACTGCAACTGCCGTAGCATGTAGGCGAGTCCTCCATGTCTAAGCAGTAAACATCATAGATGCTGTAGATAAAGAGCATCTTCGATTCCCTCTCTTTTACTTCCCGTTCTCTGCGTTCTAGACATTTCACTTCTCAGCATCAAAGTGGCTGTTTCAACCTGCACCACCAGCTTCTAAGAGAGCTGCATCAAGGAGCTGGAAAACAAGACCCCCTCACAGGTCTGTGTGGAACACCTGCTTGCAAGAAACAAGAAGCACACTGAGAAAAGCACATCTAGACAAAAAAAAGAGCTGAAGACAAATTGGGTGTCGGACAATTTAAACTTCTCCTTCAGTCCACTGAAGACAGCTGTAAATACACTGTACGTCCAAACGTTTGTAGATACCTGCTCATATAATGTTTCTTCTGAAATCAAGGATATTAACAAGCAGCAACTCTTCTGGGTAGGATTTGCACAAGATGTTGGGACATTGCTGTGAGGATCTGACTGCAATCAGCCACAAGAGCATTAGTGACTCCAGGTACTGATGTTGGATGATTAGTTCTGGATCACAAACCCCATTACAACCAATCCCAATGGTATTCAATGGAGCGCTATCACTCCAGAGAACGAGAGCTCCACTGCTCCATAGCTCAGTGCTGGCTTTATACCCCTCTAGCCAACACTTGGCACTGAGTGTGTTGACCTTAGGCTCATGTGCTTCTGAGCATCTCATACTAGATACTAGATCAGGGGTTCCCAACCTTTTTCAATTCACAGCCCACACAAACGGCCACGAACACTTCTGCGGCCCAGAGGAAGATTGAATTGATCTGATTATTTATTTATTTATTTATTTATTTGACTCACAGCTGATGTTGTTTGGCAGCTATCAAGTGCTGGATGTCAGGCTGGAGAAAGGAAAGTTGCAAACAGAGCTCTGGATCAATTCAGTATGTTTAGGGGCACACATGCTATGTTTAATTTGCGATGGTGTAGATTGTTTGCCTTCAGAGCTTTGTTGGAAAAGACCTCTAAGCATACAACATAGAGCAGTAGCTGCTCATTTTCAGTTCCCACACATGAGAAGCCTTGTGCTAAGTACTCATTGATGCATGTTCTTCGTTTCAGTTTATGCTTAGTTTTCTTTGTTTTCTCTGTCTGAGATGCAGTGGCCGCTTCTCTTAGCCCAGCCTTGGGATCTTTCCTTTCAACAAACCATGGTTTTAACCTTTTAT